CCTCGCTGTGGGGCCCTGGGGGGCTTTTCCAGGTTTAGGTGTTGGAGAAGTAATAAATAAGTACCTTTCTGGATGAAATCTTGGCTGTAAACTTGGGAAGCTTAAAGAAATCTTCAAGAAACCTTTAAATACTTTCAGAACAGAGGTGACCAACCTCTGCCAGCCAACGGGCCACTTCCACAGGCATGAGGTGTGTGTGAACACGCTGGCCCCTGTGGCTGGGCATCTGTGTTGGCTGCGCTGAGCTCCGGGCCCTTTGGTGGGCAATTGGGTGCTTCTGTCTGGCTGGCGGGGGAGGCGGAGGCAGCGGGCGGTGGTTGCTCTTAGGAACAGCATCCGTGTAAACACCCCGGGGCCTGCCCAAGGTTCCGGCTGCCTTTGGGTTCTGCCCGGCTCATGTCCCCAGAGGTGGGATGGCAGGTGGGATGGCAGGGCTGGGCGGGGCTGCTCTGATGAGTCTCTGCACCTTCAGGTTGACCTAGAGAGAACAGGCCAAATCTCTCCCTGGGTTATGAGTAGAGGTGTACTCGTGGGTAACCCGGTTTTTTTAACTTGTTTCTCCAATGATGCAGAACTGCACGTGGTGTGTTCGTTAGCTCTCGTGTGTGAGACTCTTACGCCTGTTTTTGGGGGAGGTACCTGTGGTGCAGTCGTGTAATTATCTGTGGTGGGAGGTCCGTGGTTCTCTCCCACAGTTCTCTCTCGTGTGTGTGTGTGTGTGTGTGTGTGTGTGTGTGTGTTTAAATTGATTCCAGAGAGGAAGGGAGACGGAGAGAAACATCAATGATGAGAGAGAATCATTGATTGGCTGCCTCCTGCACGCCCCCCACTGAGGATCAAGCCTGCAACCCAGGCCTGTGCCCTTGACTGGAATTGAACCTGGGACCCTTCAGTCCGCAGGCCGATGCTCTATTCACTGAGCCAAACCGATTAGGGCTCTCATGTGTTTTTTAACGCGGCCACTTTGGAGGCCGCGTTAGCTCTTCAGTCCCAGTTGCTGTCTCCAGGTCTCCTATTCCTCCACCACCGCCCCCTTGCCCAGCAGGCTCGGCCCCAGTCCTGGTGGCCCTCTGAGGGGTGCAGGTGCAGCACCAGGGAAGCAATGGGGGCTGGGACTCCATTTAGAGGGGCCCTGCATTCAAGGCCCGGGGCAGGGGTGTCCCCAGGGGACTCCAGGGGAGAGAGGGAAGCGCTTCCCCAGGGTTTGGGGCCGCAGGGGGAGGGTGCAGGCTATGGCTCTGGCTCTTAGGATGCTGCCCCGAGGAGGCACAGTTTGGGATGGGGTTTGGTGGCCTCTTCCTGAGAACTGGTCATGTCCAGGCCACGTGCTTTGGGCTTTAAAAGGAAGCTCGGCAACCTGGAGGGAAAGGTTTGTGGGGGAGGTCCCCTCCCCCCTACCACCACCCTCTCCCACCCCCAACCCTTGCCTCTGACCCTGAGGACACTTGAGGAGGCGGCTTGACCTCTGCCCCTTGCACCATTCCAAATGTGCATTCATTTATCTTTTTTGGGAAGCCCAGGCTTGCAGACTGCAACCATTAGCCCAGACCAGGGGGACTGATGCGGCTGAGGACCTACGACCAGGCCGCTGCCTGGTCAAGTCCAGGGCACACTCTTCAGCCCTGGCCGATGACTGAGGGAAGGTGGGGAGGAGGCAGAGCAGGGAGACCCCCCAGGTGTGAGGGACCACCCGTCTGCAGCAAATACTGCTGTAACAGTGCCATGCACAGAACCCCTAACCCTGAAACCCACCCTGCCTGTTTCAGTTGGGGTAGCTCCCAAGCCTGGCTCAGCAGCCAGTGAAAGACCATTCCTTTACCATTCAGTTAAAATGTCATTTTAGGGGAAATGTGATAAAAGAGTGGGGGTAGGGGGAGAACTAACCTTTGCATTGGCCTGGGTTCGAATCCAGACCTCGAGAGTGACAGGCAAGAATTCTACCACTGAGCCATCGATGCTGCAGCAAGTGCATTTTGTGAGGTTCAGGTGGTGGGCCACACTGGGAAGGGAGCCCCGGCCAGCCTGAGGGGCCTGAAACTTCCCCTAAAAGAATGTGCTCTGCTGAGACTTGTCACCTTGAGTTCTGTCCCAGCCGGGTCATTCCTAGACGTGGGGGAGGGCTGCCTGTGTCCTGCATCCGGGACCCAGACCCCGACCCGCACCCTCCACTCGCTCAGCTGGACCTGCCTCCCACCACCGGAGTCAGCGTCCTGCTGTTCCGGGGCCACCCACTCAGGCTGCGGAAGCCAGAAAGCAGAGGGCAGGGGTGGCGGAAATCTCACCACTCCTGGAGTCTTGCCTTGGGCTCTCCCTATCTGCAGGGCTCCCCCCAACCCCCCTGCCTCTGGCTGTTCCTGTGGCTTGAGGATCCTTGTGGCTTTAGGTTGTCCCATGACCCCCACTCATTCAGTAGACACCTGGGGCCACAGGAGTGTCCCAGCCCAAACTCATGTTGTCCCCTCAAGAGGATACTCTGGATCAGTGCTGGACATTGAGGGGCCTTTCTGGGCTCAGCTGGGGCTCCAAGCCATAACCGGTGACCTCCCTGCACAGGGACAGGACAGCGAGAACAGGGGCCCTGGAATTAAGGGTTCTTCATGCAGAACCACTGAACCCCAGCAGGAGCCCAGGAGCCATAGGGCCCATCCAGGGGCAGGCAGCTCTGAGGGGAGCACAGACCCGGAGGAGGCAGTGAGTGGCCTGGTGCGGTCCCCCTCCTCCCCCTCCTTGTGTCTGGGTCCTGAGGTCTCTCTGTGAGCAAGGGGGTAACTAGGGTTTGCGTGGGAGCCCACAGTGGTGGATGGGGGAGGCATATCATCCACCACAGGCAAAGCCCAGATGGCCTGTGCCCTGCTTATATCCCAACTCAGGCTTGGTCGGCTCAGCTGGGCCAGCTCTGGGCTGAAATACCACCTCCTGGGAGGCGGGAGGGCTTTGAGTAATGTCACAGGTATCTCCCATGGTCCCAGGCCCCTTGCCTAATAACCACCTGGCAAGCTTGTTAAAACCCAGATTCCTGCCCCTGCCCCCACTTGCTGCCTGTCTCTAGGCTGTCCACATGGTACTATGCTCCACGAAAAGCTGTGGAAACACACCTTCCTGGATGGAGAAGATCCAAACCTGGATCTGCTAACAGCCCTTTGTGCAGCCTTAAAGAGCCCGAATGTTCCCTGCCCTATCGTATCCTCCTCCCCTACCGGTGGTCCCTGAGGCGGGCCAACCCCAGTGCTGTTTGGGCCATCTCAGCAGAGCTGGGGCTGCTGGGGAGCAGGCAGAGCCCAGCTCTACCCCTTGGCCTGCTGGGCTCCAGAGGGCCCTTTCCTGCCCAGGCCTCGGTCACATCTGGGAAGACTGGGCTGGATGGAGAGAACGCTCTTTTGTCTGGTGGTTTGGGGTTCCCAGGTCTCAGGACGAACCTGAGCTGCCAAGAAAGGGAGATGGGGGTGGGGAAGACTGGGATGTGTTAGTGGATGGCCCTCTTTCCTGGCCATACCATGCTTCCCAGCCCTCTGGGCCAGGGTCCTGCTTGTTTTCCCTACAAGTGAAGAATCATGCCTCACACCAGGGCAGCCAGTAGGTTAAAACCCCTCCAGGGCTCACCTGCTCCAGCATCTTCACAAGTGGCTCCCTTCCTTGCCTTGTGTGTTAAAGGCCCCCCAGTAGCACCTGTGTCACTGCAGGCACCCACTGGGAGTGAGGGCCATGACGTGGAGGCACAGCTGTGCCAGACCAGCTGGGAAGCCTCCCGTTACGTGGCTTTAGCTTTGGAGGTCATGCTTCCAGGTGAGTCTGGGAACTGGCAAGGATAGGATGGGATGGAGAACAACTGGTCAGCACCAGCTCACCACCCTCACCAAGCCGAGGCCATCTTGCAAGAGGAAGCTGGACAGGGCCCCCCCCACCCCCCCCCGGAAGCCCCATCAGCCCTTGCGGACTGTAGGTACTGTTTCGGATGCTCCTCCCCTCCAGTCCTACCTGAGCATGGAGCACCCACAGCAGTGGGCCCACAGCCTTCTCCAGCCACAGTGGGGTACAGGCAACATCCTACCATTCCCCTTCATCCGAAACTGAGCTTTAAGGTGCTCAGGATGTGCCCCATATAGGGGGAGAGTACAAAACCATCTTTCAGAATAGCGGTGTCTTTATGTCCCCTTTCTACCTGGTCTCTTGCTGGTGTGATACTTTGTATATCAGATCTGCTCTGGAAATATGTGTCAGAAGGGGAAAAACTAAATTTGTACTTTTCCCTGGTCACCAAGGTTATATCTGAGCTTCACTCTGGTCCTTGGGCTGCTCCAGGCCAGCCCTTCCAGAGGAGCTGAGCAGACCCAAGACACTCAAGTTCAGAGGCTCATACCAAACCCAGGCACAGAGAGGGGACTACGCTGCCCTGCCTTCCTCCCACAGAGACATGAGCACAAACCCCTGGGGCTCAGGAGCCACCAGGGAAGATCCTGTCCTTGTGGCCAGTCAGCCAGGCAGCTTGGCCCTCGGGAATGGCCAGGCTGCATCTGGACCCCCAACATCCAGCTCTCACTCCCGGCAGCTCACTGCCCTCTCCCAGGGGCCGAGATTGGGTAAGACACCAATAATGAAGCCAGTCCAGGCCCTCACGCTGGCTGTGCTGCTCTGCACAAGGCCAAGAAAGGGTGGGATCTGGCTTCCACGGAGAGCCACACCCTTCCCAGCACCAAAACAGGCTGGTGTGCACCCAGAATGCTTTTGGAGGCACCCAGCCCTCCCCACCGCATCACACCTCAGTGGTGGCCCCGACGCCAGCACTTGAGGGGCAGCTTCTCTTCCAAAGCCCCGTTTCCCCACATGAACCCCCGCAGCGCCTTCCGTTCCAGCCTGTCTCTTCTGCCCCCGTTACCCTCAGGGGCAGAACACATTTGGACCTTGCTGCCCGCAGCCCTGACACCGGGAGTCCAAGAACACACTACAGAGCTCGAGAGAGCCTGGCTCCTCTAAATCCTGCACCAAGAACCACGACAGAAGGCTTTGCAGATAGAAAAGGGTTTTTTGTTCTGTTGCAGCTCAGATATAAGTGAGAAGGCACCGCCCCCTTGTCCGCTCTCTCAACAGCAGCCCAGTTACAGAGGGAGTCACTGGCCCGCCTGCACGGGGTCCATCCCTCACAAGGCAGCAGTGGCGTCGGGTCCCACTTTCCACCTCTGCCCGGCCGATGTCCTTTCCAACGGGGGTCGGGCGAAGATCCAGCTTCAGTAGAAAAGGATCGCTAACCAGTCCGTGCGTACAAAACTGTTCCGGCACAGCTGTCCAGTGCATCAGTCCCGGGCGCGTCTCCCCAGAGCCTCAGGGGCTCCGAGTTCTCAGGGCGGCGCAGCCTGGAAGCCGTCGGGCGGCGGCGGCGGCGGCAGCAGGAGGGTCCTGGGCGTCCGTCCTTCCTCCGGCTTCTGGTTCAGGACGGGGCCGCGGCGCTCCTCCGGCGGGCAGCCCGCACCAGGCACTGCTGCAGCACAGGATAGAGGCGCTGGCAGCCCTCGAGACCCATGCGCACGGCTTTCGACCCAGCTCTCGGTCGGGCCCCCCCTCCCCACTGCCCCAGCAGCCCGGCCCACCTGGTTGAGCACCGGCATGAGCGCCACCGTGAGGCAGGCGGCGGCGCGCTCTTCCTTCAAGCGCGTGGGTCCAGCAAACCAGGTGGGCGCGGGCCCCGGCCAGCGATTAAGCCGCAGCCCACCACCAGTCGTTAATTTGATGTCCGCGTC